CTATCATCTTGAGACCTCCAGTCAGGAAGCCTACGCCTCTCTATACGGCTTACAGCAACAATCAGAAACTTCACCGACCAGGGCTACCTCTTGGTTTGACAAAGCTAAACCGTCTTTCAGCCCAATCCCAGTTCTCCTAGCATTGCTCGACGAGGCGGGTGGTGGCTCGACACGTGCAACACATATCCAAGCCATCTCAGCCACTAAAGATTTACATCATCGACCGGCTCGCTTAGTACTTTACGCCTAACCTTGACAATGCTCATGGTAATTCCATCACATGCAAGCGATGCCATAAAAATATCTGTAGTCAAAAGCTGTAGTCTTTTCATACCTTCTACTCTCAGGTCTTGCAGCTGCATAACAGGATAGAGTGGGTATCTGGCCAGTCAGCTCGGGAAATAACGCAAGTTCACAAATGCCGAACGCGTCTTATGCATCTGAGCTGAGATGTCAGTAACCAGCTCGTTTGAGCTGGAGTAAATCCACAAGAAGTGAAGTGGTCAATGCATCCCACCACTTCAATTACTTTCATTAAACTGGGAGTAGTTGCAGAATAATCCTGAAATTTCGTCCCACAGGTGCAAAATGCATGCCACAAATACCTAGGATTTCGCTCAAGGCGTTCGAAAGACACTACATTTTATCAGCATCTTCATATAGCAGGACAATATTGTCTGCGTAGTTCTAAGTCAGCTAGATGTTTTATACGGTGCAGATCAATCCCTGTGAATTTTTAGAGGTGCATAGGGTTATGGCCAGCAGCACGTCTATAGCAAAGTTAAATAGGAGTAGCTACAGTAGGTACCCTTAGCGGACACTATAATTGTTACTTCAGACAACTCTCCTAAAGCTCTTACACGGCTATGTTGGTTCCAGTAGAGAGCATCGATTAACACTACAAACTAGCTGAGTACTCGTTTAAAAGACAGACTCTGCTACTACAACACCTTTCAATTTACTAAGTCAAATGCCACCTTTACGTCAAGAAACATGATGACTGTTGCCTGCCATTAAGTAAGCCTATGTTTAAGATCTTGTATAAGGGTGAAGATCTGACTGATCCATTCTTGACCTGTTCTGAAACCAGCCAAGTTTTATAGAGCTCTCGTTAGGCATCGGATAACGATGAAACCTAAAATTTTAGGTATGACTTTAGTCACACTGACCCCCTTGCATTTTTCACCACTGTTGGATGTTTTAGTTAGATTCTAACATATTAGCAGAGGTCGACTGAAATACATGTAGTGAGCTAATAAGTTTTCTGATATAAATAAGTATTCTGAATTGAAAATAAACTGAATCCACCATACACTGTAGTTTAAATTAGTTACATTCACTGAAATGTCAAACAGGCTGGAGAAGTGACGTATATAGACTAACTCAACGAACTTGTTATCTACATATATTATAAGTGGTGCCTTGGTGCAGCGGGTCACTAGGACGATTATGAAGTGTCCTATTAATTCCCATCTCCGTTTAAGGTGGCGGGAATTATAGACAGTGAGCCTTGGACCTAGATTTTGAGCTTGTTGACACTCATCAACAAGGTGCATCTGTAACCATGAGTGACTTGAACCTCGATCACTGTGATGAAGTCAGAGACTTAAGCACTAAGTTATCCAGGCTACAACTGACACCCTGTATGACTGGATTATATGGATGAGTTGACCACCAGTGGGAAAATTAAGTAGCTATCTAATCCTTAGTATTTAGAACTGATCAGTTTACCGATCACCATCATCATCTTATTCACTAACAAAAATTCGGATGCTGTTTGTTTGAGTAAAAAAAGTAGAGATGATAATTAGTGGGATGGAACATAAGAGCAAGTTCAAAATAATCCCAGTGACATAAATAACCTAGTAGACATTATTACACAGATAAACTATATACTTTCAGTTTTTGGTTAAAATGAGAAACCTTTAGGAAACTAAAACCAAATAGCTAGCAAAAGCTTCAAATGAATGCTAGTTTTAAAAATGGTCGTTATGGATAAGTTCATTTCATTTTTTCATTTGGGTTACTAAGTGAGAATTCAAAAACTGTGCTATTCATTACCGATAAAAGTTTGACTTAATTAAAAAGTTACTTCACGCAATTCTACTGGATCTACATAACGCAAGTCTTGTTGTTAGTAACTTCCTTTAGCAGAAAAGGTTATTCAGTTGCTGATGTGGTGAATCTACAGTAACTTGGACATGTATTGTGTACGGTCGGTGTAGACTACCTGGTTGCAGTACTGGACAGGAAAGATAACCATCGCAGAATCTTGGTGATATGTCTCATAATCACTCCTATTGGTACAATTCTTCACACTATCCATTATCTTCAGAGTTTAGAATATTTTATGAATTTTTGTCGGTTACTCTTCTCAGACACACTTGTGCACTTCAGTACCATTCTTTTTCCATCCTCTTCTCTTACGTGTACGGCGGCAAACCGTAGTAACTAAAACCAATGCACCTCTCAGTAGGGTTCTACATTGATTTGTGTCTGTTTTCCGATATTAACTTACATTTCGATTATCACTGTAATAATATAATTTTAGGATTCTGGAAATAATTTTTCCCGACTAAAAGTTATGTATTTTTATGACAAATTGTACATTTATCCGCAATACATGATCATGGATATAGATAGATTCGTTTCAAAAATTTCATGTCTGACAAATGGAGTTATAATTTAGTAAGTACAATTAAATTAGCCACCAGCAACACCTATTATCCACTATCCAATCTTCGTAATACGTATTTTTAGGTTTTCAGACACTCAACAAAGTTAGAAGAGTTGATTTAAACTCCGAACGGGACAAGAAAGCAGGACTTAACGCTTCATTGTTAGAAGGCTTTAAGAATGGTGATGGCAAATCACTGATTAGAATAACATGTAATAAAGCTTGCGTATAGAAACCAGAGACTTAAATAGTGAGTCATCCACATTTACAAGAAGAAAAAGAATTTTTCCTATAATGATCACCAGGTTGAAAGTTTAACCCTCGAGTTTATGATCATCTCACGTCTAACTTGAGCTAAAGAGCGGCAGAATTTAGGAAATCAAGCAAGTTTTAGACTTAGACGAAGGTACATTCATCAAAGCTCCACTCTCTGAAAAATTAACGCAATGACATAGAATGGCATAGGAGTGCACCAGTTTGCTGAGCTACAATTCGTACCATCAAATTAAATAGAAGTGGACCGAAAGTGGAATGATATAAAAGATGGAGAGGATAAAGCAGATACATACTTAGAGACGAGTAAAATTTCCAAACCGTTAGCGATAAAGAGTGTACAGATCTGCGCCATTATAACATTCTGAGGATCTTTAAACATTGGTTTTTGTCATTTGGAAGACCCTACCTAGGCAATATACACGCCTTGGACCAACTGTTAAAGATTTTACAGTTTGGTGTCTCAGTTTAGTGACCCCAAGATTTCCTCTAAATTATTCTTAGGTTGGTTAATATTGGACGTCAAAGGTGGACGTACGAAATGCGCAACACACTTCCAAGTCAACTCAACTTTTACTTGCAATTTTCATCACGGACTAACACCAGTTGGAAAACCATTACAAAACTGAAAGCACTGGAGAGCTGTTTCATCCCAGTTGAAGACACGGTGCAGGCCTATAAACTTATAAAAGAACATCAGATTTCATGGTGTCACCATTCAGATACTGAAATGGAATCTGTTGGTCTACTTTTCCTACTTCTTTCAATTCATGATACAGTATGGCCTTCAAACAGTGACATCGGCGGGCATTTTTCTCACTTCCCACATGTAGTTTCATGCTGTATATTTAACATCTTTCATCTGTTAGAGACAATATATCGGTTGCAACTAGAACCTCCTTGAATCTTAGGAGAGATAGCTCCAACCTTGAGATTTTAGCCAGGCCTGGTTACCACAAAGGCATAACAAGCTATGCTGGTGGAACCCTTGTTACCTTGAGGTCTTGCATGCTACAAAGGCCGTTCGGAAAGTGATAAGGCGAAAAGAAGTTACTGTTATAGAATACCTTGCTACACTATGATGGGGGATCCGAAGGCGAAGTCGTGCTGCTGACTGGAAGGAAATTTGGCAGCAGTAAGGTGTTTCCCACTACGGACCAGCGGTCCCATATTGAGGCTGCCTTTCCTATGAAAATGGGGATAGAACATGTCGGCCGTGAAAACAGTACACTCCATCTACTCCGCAACATACCGATGCTGGTGATGCGAGTTCATAGTCAGATTCACAAAAAGCCCAACTATAAAACTTCTAAACAAAACGGACTCGGGCAGATGTCCCTTGGGTTCTGCAGTTACATACTAACCCTTCTACTTCAGATACTTAAAGTATCGGCATTTCACGGTGTGCAGCCGAGAAGTGTCAACCGCTTTCACAACTATCAGCACTTAAGTTTACTGACCACTGTCCACCTTCTACATCCTTACTTTCTAATCCTCCTTCACACCACTCGGTTAGCATTCCTACATCTTTAATTTGTTCCAGCCACCCAGCGCTTGACAATGAACTGAGTTCCTGGAACAGCCTCCTCTGTCTCCCGAAACTGCGATTCAAAATATACGTTGGAGCTCTCAACGTCTGCAACTTCTGTCGAGTAGGTCGACAAACTTCGTTAGCCAAAACACAGGCACCTCGAGTCAGGGATGTGCGCTGCGTTTGTGAGACAAGCACACAGGATCTAAGTGCGGCCATTCGCTAACCTCATATAGTCGATATGCTGAACTAGCGAAATTCACCCATCAAGTTTCTGGTGATTTGATGACTGGTTCTCGCAGTCCTGCAGGTAATACAGCGCTAGGTGCTATGACAGGAAGTGCAATGTTCGATTAAATCCCATTTGACTGTCGCCTAAGTTTTTTTAGACTGAAGTATACTTTAAGTCAGTACATGTATCTTCAGAGCACATCATGATTACAGTAGAAATACAGTCAGAAAAAAAAAATTTGAAATACGTAAAAATAAATATCAAGATACAGTGAAAAGCATACTCACCTTGACCGAAATTCGCTCATCGTCAACAAACTCCAGTTCAGGTAAGACATGACGAGGGTTTGACGAACTCCTGGCAACTGTTTGTTTTTTCGGCACTCTAAGTGTCCTAAAGCTCGGTTCGAACTGTGGATGAAATATAATTTCAGTCGAGTATGCGACAAACCCAACCGTTAACTTCATCGATAGGTGCTCTTTTTACTTCAGGATACACCTCAGAACACGTTTTGTATACAGTCTCTCCCTTTGGTTTAGAGAAAGGTTCATTTATAAATTCCAGTGGAGGTCGAACAGGCTTTTTCTTTGGTTTTGGCATTTGCAGCTAGTGATGTTGAAGATTCATAGTGGCCACACAATGAAGTACCAAGGCATTTACGATTAAGCGCACTGTTCCAATGGCATTCAATGTCCAACATCTGGTTAACGAGCTTTTGTAAACCAGTCAGTTTCTTCGTGTTCCGTAATACGTCGTTAAGAACCGTTTCAAGTCTCTGTGAAGTTCTGATGCCGCAGATTCAGCCGCTAGCTTCCTGTAGCTCTGGCATACCCAACAGGTGGTTGGATGTTGGTTAGCCTGTCTGGGACTGGGGTGCAGCTGAGTTTTTCGAATATCGAGTTGCCAGACAACTGTTCAGATTGGTCGCAAGAAAAAGTCACTAGTGGGTAAGGGATAACCTAAGAAGATAAATGCGTGTGAATCAAAGACAGAGAAAAGTGAAATAATGGAGTAGTCTACGCACACCTAAGTAAGACGAGACGGACGCAAAGATGTGCAGGACTTAGGTGAATGAGGTTAGTTCATAGAACGACAAAAATTTAAGTGGTTAGGGTAGGACGAGAACTGGTATAGAGTTAATAGTGTTGGGATGGTGTGACAGAAGCTGATTTCTTCGGCCTATTTATTATTCTAGCTGGATGGGCGTAAACCCTGAGGAACTGCGCCGCTGTCTAACCCTTCTTTGAAAATGTCGACAGCTGAAAGGGAGACTGCCTCTGCTGATAACCCACTCCATTGCCCGCAGACTCGAAGGGAAAAGTGTGGACGCACACGAGCTTTTGACCTTTGGTGCGCGATTCTTTTTGGGCCTCCACGAAGAACACCCTGGTGGCCACTTGGCAGTATTCCCCGGTTCGAGTGATTCGAGTTATTTAATGTCTTGTAAGCCATCATCAATTCACCTCGCCGCCCGTAGTAGTGAAGAAAATGACTGACAAGGTCTTCATAAAAGTCGCGCTTGCCCATAGCCTTTTTCAACCAATCGCTATGCTCCGAAATTTCGAAAAGAAACTTGAACTTGGCATCAGGCTAGTTCAAGAGGCAGAAAATCGATCAAATTTAAATTTAGTAGGCCTGAAAAAAGCCTAGGTTGTTGTGATATATAAAAAACCTAGCAATTTGCATGCATTATTGGCGTTGCGTTCGACGCTCCATAATACACTCTCAGTTCTGTTGCTGCTTTGGCTATTTGCGGAGAAAGTGAGTGACTATTAGGGGGCGGAAGGTGAGGGTAACTGGACACGTGCAAAAATTTGCATAACCAAACTCAGTGTAAGGATATAAAGGGATGGTGACTGGAGCCACACAAAGGTGGTGACTGAAGTATATAAAATAATCTTCGGCAACTAAGACGGTATGGGCCTGAGTATTTTAGTTTATCCTCGAACGATTTTTGGTGTATCCATACAAATCCCCTTATTTCTCGCCTCCGGACTTTTTCCACAAGGTTTGTACCTCCCTTAGATGTGGTTGAGTGAAGAAGTCGAGGTCTTGGAGGCTTTCAGAAGAAGCTCCAGCTGCCTACGCAAAAAAGTAATACAATCAATGCTTTTGGGGCATCTTATGGGTAAATAACAAATAAATAAACACTTTATTCCCAGATCAGTAATTCAGCGTAAACGAAGCCGATTGGCAGGCATCGCCACAGTGAAATCTGCGGGATTTTAGGGGCCTTAGCACAAAGGGAGGTCACTAAATCCGATTAAAAATATCAGAAGATTCCACCAGTGATAAAATAAACAAGAAATATCACTTCCCAGCATATACAGGATGTCAAAGTTTAGATCGTGTTCAGTCATACTTTCTTCACCATCGTCGGCACCAAGGACACTCAAAATTCCAGATTTCCGTCGCAAGCAGTTGGCACATTTGGTTCGTCTCCGCAATGCCACCTTACGCTAGATAAACGTCTACTTCACCGTAAATTCCTATGCTTATGGCTTCAGAGACCAAAAGAACCCATTCTGGCCATTTCGGGAACCTGTAAGCTCCCACATAATCCTGAAGTCCGAGTGAATATCTGTGTCCAAGCGCATCTCTATTCAAGTGTCACTGTTCACAGTAATATAGATTTACGCCATTAGAACTAGATATTATGGTGCAAAGGAATAAACATTTGAAGAACTGCAGACCAATGGCAATGGGCTTTTCATACTGTTCCCGTTAAGGTATGCAGCATTATCAAGGATGTATATTCACTGTTCGATGAAGTACTAGAGAAGTCTGTTGCATACCATTGTTGTGAATATGTCCACTTCAGAGTCAAAAAGTGAATTGATCTCCTGGATTTAACTGTCTGTCCAGGTTCTCTTTGTCGTTTTGACAATCAAGAAATTTGAGTAATTTGCAGACAGATAAGTGTTCGTATGGTGAAAAAGTCAAATGAGTGAGTGGGATCGGTGTTTCCTACTCATTGGATTGTAATGTTTGTGGGAGCACAGTTTTATTCCTCCGAAAACCAATGGAATGTTGAGGATTAGTGGCACATGTTCCTCATTTATTTCCTGTTGTCATCACTGACTAAGTCTTGATGATACGGGTCTTCAAAGTTTTGAGTCAAGTCCTTTGTCCATTTGGGTAATTGGAACTGATGTCCATTTCCCCCATCACCACTGAACCTAGACCTTCCCCTGCTGTAATATGGGAAAGATGTGAACCATTCAGCGAGCAAAATACTTTCTGTGGAACAGAAGTGCAGGGAAACATGGACCGGCGTTTATCCAGGTTAAATGTCAATCCATTATTTTTCGGTCACTTCGCAATAGATTCAGTGTTTTTCAAAAGTGTCTCACACACACTATTTTTCAGCATCTGAGTTCGGGTTCTAAAGCTGAATTCTTCCTGTTTGATCGAACACATACATCATCTTGAAAACTAGAAGTTGCACGCTCTTGCGCGTCGCTTTGGACTTAGTCCTTGTTTTTTGGATTTGTTACAGTTTGTGTAATCTTTCCTACACTTAGCTCTGTTAAGATGTTTGCTCTTTGTAAATTCGTAACGGTGTCTTGTAGGCTAAGCTGACAAGTAATATACGGGTAACTGGGATGACTGCGGGTCCATTATGACTCTGTTTTGCTAAGGTACTTAACTGGAGTGTCAGAATTAGGGTGGAGTGGTACACGGAATATTCTCAAATGGCAAAGGTAGATAAATCGAGTGTAGCTACTGGAGACGAATTAGGAGACAAAGTAAACAAAAGCGTGCAGATAGTAACAAGTGGGAGGGAGACTAATGATATGGTGATGTAACAAGTAAAGTCATCACTTATTTCAGTTTACCACTGGTAGGTCACAAGACGTTCAATTTCACTTCAATGAATTTCACTAAGAGGAAAGTGATTAAGTTTCTTGGCGAAGCTTTCCATGGAGCACATACCACCAAGGAAAAGAAGTTTGACCTAAACCTGACATCAGCTCTCTAACGTACCATTCTGATGCGATTTCCTCAAATCAACCACCATCCTGAGGTCAAAGGACTGTTGCTGCTTCAAATTTCTCGGTGGATGACCTTGAGAGTAATAATAAGGTCTCATTCCTTTTTAAATCAACCTGTAGCGAATAGATTGGGTTGGCGTGTTATGCTCGTGAACTGGTGGGTTCTGGGTTCAAATTCCAGTGGTAACGCCATTTCCCTTTGGGATATATATAGATATACATCCAGCCAATGAATCGCGAATGGGTCAAAACTTATACCCCAGAATCCAGCGCTGCCCACCGCTAGTCAGCTACGTTGAAGACTGAGGAAAGGGTAAGATATCACCACTTTTCCGATTCGCGGAGGAAAGAAAAACGTTTTTCATGGACTTTTTCCACTATGGCGGAAAATAACTACTCCAGAAGTAAACTACAATCTCTCGATATGATAGATGAAATTGTGGTGAGTCAAAGAGAAATGGAGTAAGTAAAGACACGTGCTCGCCTCAAGAGTCTCTGATTCAACCCGTGCAGATTCCATAGATTTGGCTTCGGACTAATCCGGTAACATGTTCGACCTCGGGTGCCCCCTAGTTGGTACATATGACGCTCCAATGCGGCCTGTTGGCAGGGAAACGGGTTTCTCTCCCAGCCAAGCCACGACGCCGTTGAAACTAGTCCTTCCGTATAACACTGACTGCAGGTAATTTTGTTACCCTCCCTCCCTCCCCCAGGGATTATTGGCCCTGAAATTAATGTGTAGAGCCTATGAATGGGTCCATAACCAGGTTAATACTTATCTAAATGCACTGCTTGCGAACACACGCTACATGTGTTTGGTGACCGGCTAGCGTTAACTAGTTCACTGACGGTGAATCTGTCAGGGTCAGAGAAACGCTTTAAACAGGAATTTGGGACAAACTGTTGTTCATTCAGTTTGACCATCAATGTCCACAAGCTAATGGAAAAGATAGTCCGTAGCGTAGTTCTAAAACGTGTTAAAGCTTTCTGATTAACGAATAGAATGTCTTTTGAACTGCTCATTCTCTTTTGGAGAACCTTATTGGCGTAGGGGAGGGTTGCAGTGAATTCATCAACACAAGCGTATCTGTGGACGTGAGACTGATGATTCTGAGTGGTGCCTGTGATCAGGTTTACGTTTTACAGCTCCTAGCGCAGTCAGGCTGTTTCAGAATCGAGAAAAATTGAGGGTTTGGATCAAAACCTTTCTTGATGGCAGAAGACAGGCTCAATGTATAATATTTGCCTTGTGGAGGCCACCGAAAAATAGAGAATCACAGAGTACAACTTTCGGGTCACTTCTCATCCCACTCCATGTCGACTAGCCACCCATAACGATGAGATCGTCTTGTCTTGGTTTTAAAGACAGTGTTGAAATTAGGAGAGCTATTCACAGTGATTATAGCAGGCTACTCCTGAAGGTATGCCTGAACTTTTGGTGGTCCGATAGGTACCTACTAAGGAAAAATGCCGATAAGATTGTTAACAAGTACTTCTATCTTGAATGTCCAGTGGAATTAACGAAGAATGGCCTGAAAAATTCAAGGCTTATGGGGATAAGGATTTCTTAACTAGTGTAATCCACATTCTAATGACCACATTAAGATGCAGAAAAAGCGTCTCGAGGCTTATAGTCCCATCATGACGTCTTTCGATTCTCTAATAAAAAAAAGCTATCGATATTGTGTTCGACGTGCCTCATGCCTCAGCTCACATGCATGGTTTAATCGGTAATTCCATGCCTTAAATATGAGGCGGAT